CCAGCCTTTGCTGGTTTCCTACTTAAGCAGATCCTCCTCTCTCCGCCTTCCCTGAGTTATTTATGCTAATTAATAAAGTCACAATTCTCCTTTTAGAAATAGGGCGTAGAATAGGGTACGCACACATTCTACTTATAATTAGGTATTAAGAAATGCAGTTGCTTAGCCTAATTAAATAGTGTCTGGCAAGAAGAAAATCAGGCTCATTTGAAAACTGGTGAATACTATTCTGAAATGGTTGCTTAATGAAGCCTAACTCATATTCTGCACCAACCTACCGCCTTTTGTGTGAGAGCAGAAAGTGGAAATTCGTGTATACCAGGCCCTGGCCTCCAGATGTTTATCTACACAAGCCTGGCTGTGCCATCACCTGTGAGTCAGCCCAGCAGAGGAAGATAGGGCTGAAATCTGGGACAGGCAAGGTGTGGAGCTTTTGCAGAAAACTGAAAGTAAACGACTTAGCAGAGGGGGCAAATTTATAAGGCGTTTCTCAGATCTCCCACATGGAGACACCTTATATTTGCCAGTGCTACAGGTGACCTTGACCATCTAGAAGGAAATGAACTGTCTTAAAACGAGTCTAAAAATGTTCCAAGGTAATGTCTGGCACACAAATTTTTAAAAAATCACCTACATCTTAAGATCAGTTCAATCGTGGGCCAAAGAGATAGTACAGCAGGTAAGGTGCTTGCCTTTCATGCCCAGTTGGATTCCTGGCACCCTTATGGTTCCGTAAGCAAAAATACAGGAGTAACCCCTGAGCACCACTATATGTGGCCCCCAAACAAAAAAAGATTGTAAATCTTAGAAATAAAACTAATAGATATTTTTACTGCCTGCTCACATTTACTTGTTAGGTTATTCTATTTCCTAAATCTGTATTAATACAACAAAACAACTTCCACCTTGCCCACATTATGATATTGTTCTGTGTCTTAGATTAATTTTCCTTTCAAAATTGTCACAATAAGGGCTGGAGAGATAGCACAGCGGGTAGGGTGTTTGCCTTGCATGCGGCCAACCCGGGTTCGATTCCCAGCATCCCATATGGTCCCATGAGCACCACCAGGAGTGACTCCTGAATACAGAGCTAGGAGTAACCCCTGTACATCATTGGGTGTGACCCAAAAAGCAAAAAAAAAAATTGTCACAATAGGACTGGAATTTCAGACTTTAATTGGCTACATGCTCTGAAATTATATTATCACTGTTCAAATTTTATATCTACTGGGCTAGAGAGATATTATAGCAGGTAGGGCATTTGCCTTGCATGCGCCGACCCAGGTTCAATTCCTCCGTTCCTCTCAGAGAGCCTGGCAAGCTACTGAGAGTATCCTGCCCACACGGCAGAGCCTGGCAAATTCCCTGTGACATATTTGATATGCCAAAAACAGTAACAACAAGTCTCCCGATGGAGACGTTACTGGTGCCCGCTCGAGCAAATCAATGAACAACGGGAGGACAGTGCTACAGTGCTACTTGCTATGACTCAAATGGACCTTGGCCAGTTTCTTAGTTTCTTTCATCGTCTATATAGGACCACTGACTATAACTGCATGTAAAAGGTTTTTATAGCACAAAAAAAATATGTAAATGTTCAGTAGATTCTAAAAATGTACTCTGAGGCAACTTAGGTAGGTAATAGAAGATTAAATGAGAAAATTTTGAAATTTTCTCGGTTGTGAAATTTAAAAAGTCTCACAAACAATATTTCTCTTTCAGAGATAAGTAATTTGTTCTTCTTATAAGCCCATGAGCATACAAGTATAGCTCTACAGTAGCATTACTCTACAGCTCATAACCCATGTCCAAAATCCATCTTCCTCATATCATATTAAATGAAGTCAATCAGTCTCTCTCATACAGGGGATGTTGATACACAGCAAAGTAGTAAACAAAGGGTCAAAGGAAATACAAGGAAGAACTGATCCACACAACTGAGTTTGGGGTTGGAAGAAAAGGTCCTTGGGGACCATGGGGAAGGGAGGTGAGTACACGGCTATTGGATGTACATGAGAAACCATCATTAGCAGTATTTTAAATCACAGTACCTCAGTCAATATATGTTTTTAAAAATATTGTCTCCCTCTTCTAAATTGAGGTGAGGAGAGTCACTGAAAATAGAAGTAAAATTTGAGAGGAATTTAAGAACATATGATTAGGAGAAATTTGTGGCATGACAAATGTTAATAATTGAAAATGTAAGCATAACATGCTTCCAGGTAAATGGCAGAGTAGAGAGATTGGAACAAACAAGTTTCCCACTGAAATACAACCAAGATCTACAACTAATCACTGAAAAGGCCTCTGGTGAACGGCAGAGAGACATGTGCATCTTTGTAACAGAAACTCAGAAGAACCTGCACCTGTAAGCATGTGATCAAAGGATTCAACTCACTGTTTCAAAAGGAGATGTATCCCTCTAATGCCCACACTCACTTGACTCACAGTTATCAAGACATAAATCACACTGACATGTTGTACAAAGATTGTATATATATACTCAGTGGAACTTTGTTACCAAAGGAATATAGTTGGCATTAAAAATATAGACTGTGACTCTTATGATAAAATGGAGGAATCCTAAGGTTTATGCAGAGTAAAAAAATACTTAAAGACAAGTGCTCATCTCTGGCATATGAATTACTAAAACTTCAAGCATCACTGGTACCACCAGCTGCCTCAGCTTTCTGAAAACTCTGGTTTTCAGAGAGAAAGAGGAAGATGAGGGTGAGAGGAATGAGAGAAAGGTCATTTGGTGATGGAGAGCTGACGACTACACACATACAAAGGTGTGAGGCTAAGCCCCTGAAACTCCTGAATGTTGTACGCCAGTGGTAAGTCCAAAAGTTAAGTTCATTAATTCCTACTAAAATCTAAGTAAATAAAATCCACCCTAAAATCCATTCAACTACTTGCTTGGGGCAGAGCGACAATAACTGGGATAGGGAGCTGGCATTGCATCTGGCTGTCTCCAGTTCAGTCCCAGCACCTCATATGGTCCCCCTACCCCAGAACCACCAGAAACAACCCTCAGCACATAGCTGGGAATGACCCTGAAGCAGGGTGGCCACAAAAAAACAGTTAATTGAATGAAATTAATTTTAACTATTTGGGGGGAGTGGTTGAGGCACTTACAAGTGGCCAACTTTGGTTTAGTTCCCAACACCATATGTGGTTCCCTGAGCATTGTCAGGTGTGGCTCCCCAACTCCCCAAATAAATAAATAAACTGTAGCACTGTAGCACTGTCCTCCCGTTGTTCATCGATTTGCTCGAGCGGGCCCAGTAACGTCTCCATTTTGAGACTTGTTGTTACTGTGTTTGGCATATCGAATACATCACAGGTAGCTTGCTTCGCCTTGCCATGCAGGCGAGATACTCTCAGTAGCTTGTCGGGGTCTCCAAGAACGGCAGAGGAATCGAACCCGGCTCAGCCGGGATGGCTGCGCACAAAGCAAATGCCCTACTGCTGTGCTATCACTCCAGGCCAGTAAATAAACAAATAAATAAATTTCAGCTATTTTCTAGTTGATCCATAAACTCTCAATCTGGGTTTTTGAGAGGGGCTCTGCCAATGGCGCTTATGAGAGCTAGGAGTTCAATGGGAGGGCCAGACCATGCCAAGAGTTAACTGGGGCACCCTGGAAAGCCATGGAGAAGTGACTAGAATCCCCCATATCTTCATGACTCTCTTCATGCACCCCTTTATCTTTGGATGATTTCCTCTATCACAAGGTTGATTCAATTAAAAAGAAAAAAAAAACGCATGAAAATTTTAAAAAGCTGCTTACTGGGGCTGGAGCGATAGCACAGCAGGTAGGATGCTTACCTTGCACATGGCCGACCTGGGTTCAATTCCCAGCATCCCATATGGTCCTCTGAGCACCGCCAGGAGTAATTCCTGAGTGCAGAGCCAGAAGTGACCCCTGTGCATCGCCGGATGTGACCCAAAAAGCAAAAGAAAGAAAGAAAGAAAAAAAGGAAGGAAGGAAGGAAGGAAGGAAAGAAAGAAAGAAAGAAAGAAAGAAAGAAAGAAAGAAAGAAAGAAAGAAAGAAAGAAGAAAAAAACCACTTACCTTTTGAAAAGGTTCATTCCACATATTTCTCCCTCCCTTGGGGAAATGGCAGGTTTGGGGACGCGTGTGTAAACTCTGCTCCAGAGCTGAGAGCCACTCTCTTTCTTTCACTTGTTACTTTTGTCCCCTCTCTGAATGCATTTTTGTCCTGTTGCTGTTTTGAACCCAATCAGAACTAATGGTGTTAATCCCTTAATGCCAAAATTGGAGAGGCTGAGGAATGGACAAGGCCTGCTCTTTGTTCAGGGAACCTACTAAATGGACAAAAGGGACCAAGAGTGGTTCACTTGGAAATTGCACAGGAGATACTATCAAAGCCCACTCAGAGGTTAAGTCCTGCTTTAGTCCAACCTTTCTGGGTATGTTCCCAGGAAACTGCTGCAAGGGGCCTGAGCCATGGTAGACGCTGGGTCAAAGACTGTCAGACAGGGTTGGGCTATTAACTCTACCCCCTACACCCTGGAGTCACCAAAACCCATCACCTACGTGTGCAACTGTCTTGAGCTCAGCTCGTGTGTGATCTCACTGTGATTTTTTCTAAGCATGGTTGTAAAATGGAATCAGCAGAAGCCCCAGTGGTTTATTTCCCTGCTCAAAAGCTTCAATACACAAATAAGAATAAAAGTCTTGATCATTCTCTGTCTTCATAATTTCATGGGTCTGTATCTCTTTCTGCCATATTTATTTCCAGTTTTGGTTTTTGAGTTTTTTTTCCCCCTGCTTTAGAAAGCATGGCTAAAAAAGACAATTTTTATGCTCAATTGTACTCTGATAGGGAGTACAATTTTTTTGAAATTTGAAAAGAAAGGTAGAATTGGTGGTTTTAATAAGGAGTCTATATCTGGTAGTCAGACAAAGAATATATATTATTTAAAATGCTAACACAGTATTAGGTACCACTAAAACTAAAAAGTTCTGTTTGGTGCTCACTTTGGGAGCACGTATACTAAAATTAGAGCCATCCAGAGAAACTTAGCATGACCCTGTACAAGGATGACATGCAAATTTGTAAATCATTCCACATTTTTATGAAACTAAGCCTCCACCTGATACCACTCATAATATTTTATTCAAAATAAAGACTTAAATGTAAGTCCTTAAACCATAAAACTCCTAAAATAAAATATTGTGGAAAAAAAGTTTTGTTTGTATTAGTACACAACAAGTTGACTAAAGCTTTCTCTCAGAAAGATCTCATCGTGGAGGGATAATCTCCTGCACAGGACATTGTCATGAAGACTTACTAGATAGGCTTAGGGAACACAGCGGGCTATAATGACAAGGAGAAAGAAAAACAGTCATTGTATTAGGAAGAGAGGCATGGTATCAGTTAATACTAGATTAGTTGGATTCGATTGTTCATAACTAGTTTTATAATATTCAAGCTTTACCTGCACTAGGACTTTTGAATATTTCCTCTACCAGCAATTCTCTTTTCTTCCACATTCCCCAGAATATTTCCTTCGTGTTTTAGATTATAATTTTTTCCCTCGAGCTGCTATTCTCTAACACATTGGTATATTTTTTCCATCTCACATGGGATATCTGAAACATGCATTTGTTTCCTTTGCATTTGCCTTTCTCACTATTATGAAGCTCTTTCTGTTTGCTGCCATAACCCCAGTAGCTGACTAAGTAGTAACTGGTAGATAAATGAGAAAGTTGTAGGGTCTGTGGAATTCAAATGCGAAGAGGAGGTAGAGAGTGAGCAGGACTTGCTGAAGCAGCATAGCATTTGGTTGAGAATCTCAATCCAAGTGGTACTCAGCAAATGTGTGCTACACTCAGCTGAACTGAATTTAAAAATTTTTTATGGAGTTCAATCCACATTATTGAACAGGTTGGAGATTTCTGACATAGGAAAAAAGCAGGAAAATACATATTAGAATTTAATTCCAAAGGACCTTATATGTTAAACTGAGCTGTTTGTGGTAAACAAGTGGCAGTGGAGAATAATAAAAATATTTTTATTAGGTGGGAATACTGGATTTGGGGATAAAAGAAATTTAGAAATCTGGGCTATGTGTTTTGGATCACCCTATAGAGAAACTAAAGCTAAAAGACCTTAAGGGACCTATAGCATAAATCAAACATACCATGAGAGCTTTCTGGTCTAGAATGTTATCAAGAAATCAACACAAACAGAAGGACTGAAAACATTTTTACCTAGTTCACTGCAGAAAAATAGGAAATTCCAAGCGAGACATGTCCTGAGGTTTGACCTTGCATGATGGGAGAAATTAACTTGAGTACAAAAAAACAAAATTAACAAGGTTTCAACAGAAAACAAGTGTATATATAGGTAGAATATGCTATTAGGATGCTGTTAGGAAAGTAGGTATATACCTAAATATAGATATCTGTATGTAAAAATCTTAGCTGTTGAGTTGTAGAACAGGAGACATAGATTATCATCTTCCAACATATATTTCATAGATATTAAGCAGGAAACAAAAGGAAAAGAAATACTATCATGACTAAGTATTTTAAGAAGTACTAAGTCAAAATTTCCCTTAATTCAGAATCAATTTATCCTATGAGCATCACAGGATATTACATATCACTACAGTGGGTTCCTAGCTAGAAAGTTCTCCAAACTTGTCTGAGCATCATTTGTTTATGGAAAAGAACAAAAACAAAAAACAAAAAAGAGAATCACCTATAGGATTCCTCTTCCACAGAAAAAAAATAAAACTGAGCCAGGAAGATACCACAGTTTCATGGCTTTCTCAGCCTTGTCTCAAACAACAGAATCTCATTCTCCTGTGGCTCTGGAGGCTGCATATCGGAGATGGCAGCAGCTGTCTCTGTGACCTCTCTCCATGACTCGCAGTCATTCTCACCAATCTTCATCATGATTTTGTCTGTGTGTGTGTGTGTGTGTGTTCTCTCACCTTGTGGGTCTGAGTTTCCTCTTTGTAAAAGAAGACCAAGCAAGTTAGAATAGGTGTGGGGTATCCTAACAGCCTCATCCCTTATAGGCCTTATTGTTTATTATAGTCATAATAAGTCATAAAAAGGCACCACGTTGGGTCTGTGAAGACACAATAGGCCAGAATAGCATTAATATAGTGAAGATGTGTCTGGTCTCCAACAAAGTAAAACGAAAGTCAAAAAAAAAGTTGATCTAAAGGCTCACATAGACAGGACCCACAATGAAGATAATGCAGAAGAAAGTAAATAAAAAGAGGCAGAGAAGGGAATGGAAAAGGTAGGACTTATAGATTATTAAATCACTGGGGTCATTAGGTTTCCTGAGCAATGCCAGTGTGAACGTCAACAGAATGGGAATTTAAAATGGGTAACTTAATTGGACAATTCAGGAATACTGGTGGCCTTTGGGTTTCAGGTAAAATATCTAAGACACAGAAAATTAAGAACCTGTATTTAATTATGAGAAACTAAGTGCCATGTCTGACAAATCTGACACGAAGAAGGAAATCATTTGCACGAAAGAAACTATCAAGTTTCTATTGAACCAAGTGATATTGTCATTTCTGTCAATAAGTGTGACTCAATCTAAAATGTTCTATGATTCAGCCTCGAAACAATAGGCTTGCTTTACTTATGAAACTTGAGATGATGGTGCCAAGTAAAATAAGCAAGAAAGTAAGAGGTACCAGATGATTCCATTCATATGTGGAATATAAATAACTAAAGCAAAGTAGGAAAACAACAAGAAAATGGATTTTTAGATCTAGTGGTTAGATGAGCGGACAGATGGAGAAGGGAGAGAGATGGGTCATTTGTGAGGTAGACTGATGCTGGAACATTCATGGTGGTAGTAAGACCTGGACAGAGTGAAGCTCTATCCCTGAAATTTAAGAGAACGGAAAGGTAAAGGTAAAGGTAAAGGCCCTCCCGTTGATCGTCGACTTGCTCGAGCGGGCCCAGTAACGTCTCCATTGGAGACTTTGTTGTTACTGTGTTTGGCATATCGAATACTCACTTCGCCTCCATCAATTTTATGATGATAGAGTAACATTAGAAATACATGGTATTTTTCAACATCCTCCATAATGCTGAGTTTCTGCAGTTAACCAGTCAACATGTTTGTCTGCTTCCACATCTAAGCTGTGTTCCGCAAGGTTAATACTGCAACTGAGCTCTCAGCTAGAGCAACAGGCAAAGAGCTGGGGCGTGGTGGGAGGGATGGTGTTCCAGGTGACATCATGGGAGGTCACCTAACTGGGTCACTGTCCTCATTCTTCACTTTGCATCAGTCAATTGGTGTGAAATTTTATAGGGTGTGTGAGAAGCAGGAACTGGGCAAGTGTGCAGGGAAAAGTTTCAGCTTTCCAAGAGTGGGAAGGAAGCCTGATGCCATCCTGCCTTTTCACTATGGGTTTTTCCAACCTGAACAACACGAATCATGGTCACAGAAATAAACACAGCATGTCTCTGACTTTTATTTCTTCAGGGCAGTTTAAGAGAGAAAATAATGTTTTAAGTGAATCAGAACCATGTCCAGGAACATTTAAAGAGGAAAGGTTCCATGTTCGCAGGCAGATGCGAGCAAGCAGGACCGTCAGAACCCAGGAGCATGGGAGCAGCATGGATTGATCCCCGACTTTGTTCCCTGATGATAGTGATGCTCTTTTAGAACAATTTGACAACTGACACATTTTATTCTTAAGTGATCATCTACCCAAACATTCAATGTAGTGTCAGGGAGTGGCATTGGCATCAAATGAAAGACTTTTCATCATGCTGAAGAGAAACTGCATCTAAAAAGGCAGTTCAAGTGAATATATTATTAACTTCGGTTATGTAACAAAACTGTAACCAGACATGCATGGGCATAGGTGTTACAGCATGAACCTTTTACAGCAGATAGCAAAGACTAAACACATGGTAAATAACATTTATCTAGAAAAAAATAATTATAGTATCTGAAACTGGTTCTTACAGCTGGTGGAGCAATCACTGGCAAATTATCAGGTAAACTAACCAACTGAGTAACCCAATATAAACTTTGACTAGTAGAACTAATCATTTAAAGTGAGATACTTTTCTTCATGGTCACGGTCCTCCCGTTGTTCATCGATTTTACTTGAGCAGGCCCAGTAACGTCTCCATCATGAGACTTGTTGTTACTGTGTTTGGCATATCAAATACGTCACAGGTAGCTTGCCAGGCTCTGCCGTGCAGGTGAGATACTCTCAGTAGCTTGCCGGGCTCTCCAAGAGGGGCGGAGGAATCGAACTCTGGTGGGCCATGTTGGCCGCTTGTAAGGCCTGTAAGGCAAACGCCCTACCGCATACTTTTCTTAAATGAACAAATATTTGCTTTTCTTAATGCCTTCTTGTTTTTTGATTTCGCTTTTTGGGTCACACCTGGCTTTGCACAGGGGTTACTCCTGGCTCATGCACTCAGGAATTACTCCTGGCGGTGCTCAGGAGACGATAAGGGAAGCTGGGAATAGAACCCAGGTCAGCTGCATACAAGGCAAACATGCCCTATCAGCTCCAGCCCCTCAGTGCCTTCTCTTGATGAGTATTTTATCCCACTACATTTCTGTCATTCTTTTCCTCCAAAAATCTTCTAGACTTTTCCTAGTGGAAAATTCTTTCAGTTATCTTCAAAAAGAGCATACACTTAGAAGGATACCAAGAATCACCCACTTTAAGGAGAAGTTATTACTCAGAGAGTTCAAAAGTAAAATTAGATACTCTTCCCCAATTAAATTTTAAAATACTCTTCAAATGGTCTTCAAATATTGATTTTCATAAGTAAGATTTTGTTTTTATATACTGAACAATAAGCTACAGACAGAAATTAGAAACTAAACACTGTCTGTTGTTATAGATTGACTTGAAAATACTTTGGGAAGGCTGGAGCGATAGCACAACAGTAGGGCATTTGCCTTGTGTGAAGCCAGCCCAGCTAAGCCGGGTTCAATTCCTCTGCCCCTCTCAGAGAGCCCGGCAAGCTACCAAGAGTATCTTGCCCGCATGGCAAAGCCTGACAAGCTACCTGTGACATATTCAATATGCCAAACACAGTAACAACAAGTCTCAAAATGGAG